GCCTGTAGTCCCAGCTACTTGGGAGGCTGAGGCAAGAGAATCACTTAAGCCCATGAGTTTGAGGTTGCTGTGAGCTGTGATGCCATAGCACTCTACCAAGGACAACATAGTAAGACTGTCTCAAAAAAAAAAAAAAAGATTAGTCGAGGCCAAGCATGGTTGCTCACACCTGTAATCCTAGCACTCTGGGAGGCCAAGGCAGGTGGATCCTTGAGCTCAGGAGTTTGAGACCAACCTAAGCAAGAGTGAGACCCCATATCTACTAAAAACAGAAAAACTACCTGGGCATGGTAGCAGGCATCTATAGTCCTAGCTACTTGGGAGGCTGAGGCAAGAGGATTGCTCAAGCCCAAGAGTTTGAGGTTGCTGTAAGCTATGATGATGCCACGACTCTTTACCCAGTTCAACAGAGTGAGACTCTGTCTCAAAAAAAAAAAAAAAAAGAATTAGTCAGACTTGGTGGCACATGCCTGAAGTCCCAGCTACTTGGGAGGCTGAGACAGGAGGATTACCAGAGACCCACAGTTTGAGGTTGCTGAGCTATGATGATACCACTGCACTCCACTCTGGGTGATAGTGAGATACTATCTCTAAAATAAAAATATCTTATTCATTTGGCAACATATGTACTAAAATTGGAACCATAAAACAAAAATATCTTATATCTTCAAGGATAAGCAAGCATGAATATTATCTTTATTTTTATTAATAGGCTTTAATTTTTATAGTAGTTGTAGGTTCACAGCAAAATTGTGTAGGAAGTACAGAGGTTTTTGTTGTTGTTTTGTTTTTTTGAGACAAAGTCTCACTTTGTTGCCCTTGGTAGAGTGCCATGTTGTCACAGCTCACAGCAACCTCAAACTATTGGGCTTAAGCAATTCTCTGGCCTCAGCTCCCCCAAGTAGCTAGGACTACAGGTGGCTGCCACAACGCCCAGCTATTTTTAGAGACGAGGTCTCACTCTGACTCAGGCTGGTCTCAAACTTGTGAGCTCAGGCAATCCCGGATTGGCCTCTGAGTGGTAGGATTATAGGCGTGAGCCTCCGCACTCAGCCTTCATAGTTCTTATAAACCTCCCCAGCCCCATATACACACATAGCATCACCCACAGAGTGGGACACTGGTCATGCTCAATGAGCCTACACAGACATCTCATCCTTATCCAGAGTTCATAGTCTAAATCAGGGTTCATTCTTGGTGTACTACATTCTGTGGGTTTGGACAAAAGTACAATGACATGTACCCACCATTATAGAATCACAGAGAGTAGTCCCTCTGCCCTAAAAATCCCCCTGCTCTGTATTCATCCTACCTTCCTGTAAACTCCCAGGAACCACTGATCTTTTTACTATCTCCAGAGCCTTTTCCAGAATGTCCTAGAGTTGGAATTATACCGTATATGGCCTTTTTATACTGGCTGCTTCTACTTAGCTACGTGCATTTGAGGTTCCTCCATGTCTTAGCATTTTGACAGTTCATTTCTTTTTAGTTCTGAATAATATTCCATTGTCTGGATGCACCACCATTTATTTATCCATTCACCCACCAGAAAACATTTCGGTTACTTCCAGTTTGGGGCAGTTATGATCTTTTGTTTGTTTGTTTTTTGAGACAGTCTCACTTTGTTACCCTCAGGAGAGTGCTGTGGTGTCACAGCTCACAGCAACCTCAGACTCTTGTGCTCAAGTGATTCTCTTTCTTCAGTCTCCTGAGTAGCAGGGACTATAGGTACCTATCACAATGCCCAGCTATTTTTAGAGACAGGGTCTTGCTCTTGCTCAGGCTGGTCTCAAACTCCTGAGCTCAAACAATCCACCCACCTCGGCCTCCGAGAGTGCTAGGATTATAGGTGTGAGTCACCACACCAAGGCCCCCGTTTTTGGCAATTATGAATAAAGCTGCTAAAAACATCAGTGCACAGGTTTGGGGATAGGCATTAAGTTTTCAGCTCTTTTTGGCTAATACCTAGGAGTACAATTGCTAGGTCAAATGATAAGAGCATATTTCATTTTGTTTTCCCATCTCTTTTTTACTTAAGCAAGGTAACTCACTGCTGTGCTCTGTTTTGTTATTTTATGCAATATTGTATCCTAGAAACTTTTCTGTATCCCGTTTAAAGTGCTTCCTAATGATGAAATATGGTAACAAACTATATCCATCACTGGATTAGTGTAGTGAAAACACTGAAGTATTTTCTTATCTCTGCCACCCTTCCACCCTTCTGAGTCTCCGGTTCTCCTACTCCAACCCTATATGTCCACACGTACATGTCATTTAGTTTCCACTTTAAAGTGAGAACATGTGGTATTTGACTTTCTGTTTCTGGCTTGTTTGTCTTAAGATAATGGCCTCCAGCCAGGTCCATTCATGTTGCTGCAAATGACCTGGGTAGTTTTGGGGGTGTTTGTTTGTTTGTTTGTTTGAGACAGAGTCTCACTATGCCACCCTGGGTAGAGTGCCATACCATCACAGGTCACAATAACCTCAAACTCTTGGACTTAAGTGATTCTCTTGCCTCCGCCACCCAAGTAACTGGGACTATAGGTGCCCGCCACAACGCCTGGCTATTTTTTGGTTGTAGTTGTCATTGTTGTTTGGCAGGCCAGGGATGTATTCCAACTCACTAACTCCAGTGTATGTGGCTGGCGCCCTAGTCACTGAGCTACAGGTGCCAAGCTATGGGTAGTTAAAAAAGGTAGTTAACTATTTTGAGTTAAACTTTATGTTTTAGGATCATTATAGATTCCCATTCAGTTGTAAAAAATCATAGAGAGGTCCTGAGCACCCTTTATCCAGGTTCCCCAGGAGTGACACCCTTGAGACACTAGTCACTATAATAGCAGGACATTGATGTGGACACCATGGCACACAGAACAGTTCCATCCCCATGTTGATCCTCTCCCTGTCGCCCTTTCAAGCCAACCCTCCCGCCTCCCCATCCTTGGTTCCTTGCGTTTTCCACTTTGATTCTACCTGCTGCAGCTGCAGTGACAATATGCCCTCCCCACTTGGTGTGTTAGCTAACTGGGGGTTTTTACCCTTCTAACCTTGGAGGAAAAGGTATCTTGCTGTAGTGCAGTTTGCATTCCTTTTTTTATTTTTATTTTTTTTGAGACAAAGTCTCATTTTGCTGCCCCTGCTCGAATGCCATGGCATCATAGCTCACAGCAATCTCAGACTCTTGGGCTCAAGTGATTGTCTTGCCTCAGCCTCTCGAGTAGCTGGGTCTACAGGCGCCCGCTACAGCATCCAGCTATTTTTTACAGACTGGGTCTCGCTCTTGCTCAGGCTGGTCTAGAACGCATGAGCTTAGGCAATCCAACCTCTTTGGCCTCCCAGAGTGCTGGGATTACAGGCCTGAGCCACAGCGCCCGACCCAGCATTCCTTTTTTAATAAACAAAACTGGACATCTTTCCACATACAGTAGAGCCTCCATAGCTGACCATCTGCCTAAGTGGGCACCTCCTTAATTTAACCCAGTTTTCTCAGACCATACATGTACCACATATGTGTGTCAGTACAACAGGCCAATTTCCTTATGTTGACCACCTCCACATGTTTACCAGTGTGTTAACTGTCCCCTGTGGTCAACTTACAGAAGAGGTCCTGATCTAATTAAGAGTTGATTATTTCTCCCTGTACATGGGAGCTGGTTGGGGTGGTTCCCAGGAGAGTTTCCACATTTGATGGTGAGAACATGGGACTAGTAAGTCCCTTGAGCAAAGATGGATACCAAACGGTTGGCCATAGAGAAGGCAAGGCAAGGGGTTTAGTGGTCCCTGAGCTGGGGGGCACAGGAAGGACACAGTGACTCTGTAGAATTCAAGGCAAACCTACAACTCTATGTGAGCACCCATGAGTCCTGGGCTGACCTGAGCTTCACTTCTTTCCCCAGCAATGGCAGATGAGCCTGGGGACCAGCGAAGATCACCAGCACTTCACCTGCACCATCTGGAGGTAAGCATGGTATGGGGAGGGGATGGGCCAGCTGCTGTGGTGTCAGCCAGCATTGTGTGGTCTGCATGCCATTTCAGGCAGGGAAAGAAAGGGGAGGAGGACAGACAGGGCCCTACACCCCTGGAGGGGGGCACAGGCCAGTGGGTAAACTCATAAAGTGCAGGGAGGAGGGGGCTTCCACACTGCACTAGGGGATGGGGCAGGGTGGGAGGTATCAGGAAAGCTCTCCAAGGAAGTGCAGTCATGGGAAGGCCAAGGGCCTGGGGGAGGGTGGGCAAGGCAGGGTGCTCACAAAAGAAGGAGCCACTGAGAGGGGCTGGAACACCCTGGGGGTGGCGCTAAGTCACCAATGGGCTTGGGGCCATTTTTTTTAAATGGAGATAAAATTTCCATAAAATGCAGCTTTTGAAGTGTACAGTTCAGTGGTAGTTAAGCACATTCACAGGGTTATGCAACCACCTAGTTCTAGTTCCAGAACTTTCTCATCACCCCAAAAAGGTGATGAGAAAATTCTGCTATCACTCTCATCTCCCCAAGGCCCCAGCCCCTGTCACCCCTGAATCCATGTCCTGTCCCTATGGGATCTGCCTATTCTGGACATTTCACATAAATGGAGTCACACACTCCAAAGGGACTCCTGTGTTCCCCTGAACATCTGCTCAGGTCCCATTTTCCCTCAGGAAATTATTCTACCAGAATGTTCTCTTGGAAGGTCAAACCTAATGATTTGTAATGTTTTATGGTGCAGACCCCCAGGGATCAGACAAAAGCTGTGCACCCTCCTCCTGAAATCTCCAAACACACATAGCTCCCAGCATGTGCACACAAGCTTGGGTCCTCAGCCCCCACTGAAGCCTGTCACAGTGTGGTCTCCTTGTGTGAGGAAGATATGCCCCACGCCAGGTCCTGCCCCACACCAGGTCCTGCCCCTGTCCTCCTCAGTCAGGTTCATGATTCTTGGGCGTGACCCACTCAAGTTGTCTCACTCATTCTTGTCATCCCACTGCCTTGAGCACAGCTTGCCAAGTGAATAATAAGTCCAGCAGGATAGAGGGTCATGGAGCTTCAGGAATCTTATCCCATCTCTCCTGGTCTTTGTATCCCTGGAATGTGTCAGCCCAAGTAGTACTTATTTCTGGAGTGTTTATTTTGTACCCAACATAGGGCAGGCGCTTGGGAGGGAATTCAACAGAAATCCAAGGTGTAGGTAGGTAGTCCTTGGTGGTCAGGGGTCAACATGGGGGAAAGATTTATACACCAGAGACAATTAGAGTGGTGAGTGACAACACTTAATTAAAGGATGGGGTGTCATTTAATACTGTGTGTGGGCGTTATCGCACAGGCTCCTGCTGGGTGCTTTGTAAACAGCTGGTGTTGGGGGACATCTCACCCAACTCTAGCCAGGGCTATTCTCAGGCTGCACTGACTCAGCACCCCCAGCCCTGGCCTGATGCCCAGCCATCCTTCCTTTGCAGACCCCAGGGCAAATCCTACCTGTACTTCACCCAGTTCAAAGCGGAGGTGCAGGGTGCCGAGATTGAGTATGCCATGGCCTACGTGAGTGTCTCTTCAGGGCTGGTGGGTTCTGGGGACTCTTGGTGGGCTGGGGTGGTTGCCAGAGTGCCCTGCCCTGAGATGCACCTTCCAGACCATGGGGAGGGAGGTCTTATAACTTGGAGGAAGGTGATACACCAATGAAAAGATCTGCCAGTTCTGAAGGCACCAAGAGAGGGTGTGTTTGGTACTCAGAGGGGGACCTAGCTGACTCCAAGTGACAATGAGTGGAGCAGGAGATAGATACACCCATGCCTCTCAGCCAGTCTCCTGCCAAAGCCAATAGGGAACCAGGGGGCAAGGGTCTTCCTTCTGCTGTCCTGAGTACTCAGCCCCTGAGAAATAGGCAGGGATAGTGAGGGCAGAAGTGCCCCTTGACCAGACAAACCTCTGCTTCTTGGCCCTGGACGTGCCAGAGCCAGGTGCCTTGGGTGGGAAGGAACACCCCCCACTGTTGGGGCCCAACCAACCACACTTCAGAGACCATACTTCTGCCTTGGGTTCAAAAGTTTGGAAGTGACTTATACCATCCAGGTTCAACCAGAAAAGCAGAACCAGGAGGAGATTCATGGTAAGAGATTTCTAACTGGGAGTGGGCTTGCACCACAGTGGACAGCTGGGTGTGTTTGGCACCTATAACCAGGCCTAGGAACTCCTCCATCAGGGAAGCATCAGGTTGGCCCTGAGCCTTCCTGCTGATTGAATCTAGACATCCTAGATCTTTGAGAATAATCTCCTTTCCTTAAGGTCACCTGACCATGGACTTTATTCACACCTACAAAAATACCTGCATGGCCACACCTGCAAATGTTTACTGGATAATCAGGGACTCTGGCCTCACTAAGCTGACACATCCAACTGACTATTCCAGCCCGACACCATGGCTCATGCCTGAAATGCCAGTGCTTTGGGAAGCTGAAGCAAGAGGATTGCTTGAGGGCAGGAGTTTAAGACCAGCCTGGGCAACATACTGAAAAATTAACTGGGCATTGTGGTGGGTGCCTATAATCCCAGCTACTTGGGAGGCTGAAGCAAGAGGATCACTTGAGCCCAAGTTTAAGGTTGAGGCTGTAGTGACAGTGAGCAATGACGATGCCACTGCACTGCAGCCTGAGTGACAGAGCAAGACCTTGTCACAACAAAACAAAAAAACCCACTATTCCTTTGGCTGATTTAAAAAAGAAAAAGACATAATTGTGATGATTTTTTTCTTTTTACCATTTAAATAAGATGCTGAACAATCCTGATTTTTAAAAATTACATTTAAGAGATGGCAATGCTGACTCGGCACCTGTGGCTCAAGTGGCTAAGGCACCAGCCACATACACCTAAAGTGGCGGGTTTGAATCCAGCCTGGGCCCACCAAACAACAATGATGGCTGTAACCAAAAAATAGCCAGGCATTGTGGCGGGCACCTGTGGTCCCAGCTACTTCGGAGGTGGAGGCAGGAGACTCGCTTGAGTCTAGGAGTTGGAGGTTGCTGTGAGCTGTGATGCCACAGCACTCTACCCAGGGGGACAGCTTGAGGCTCTGTCTCAAAAAAAAAAAAAGAGAGATGGCAATGTTTATATTATTTCCGTAAATTATTAACTGAAAGGGGAGAAAATGGACTAAGTGCTGTCATTGTAGGATCTGGAGGTTAGGTTGTAAGCCAGTTGACAGTGTCTTGGATAGATGAATCAACCTGCTGCTATCAGCATCTCTTTTATAGGTTTAGAAAAGTCTCTTTAATAAAAATCATATGGCCTTAGCTTCTGCTTCTCTGGAGAACTAACTGAATCCTCTTCTCAACCAATGAGATGGCTCAAGGTAAAGTTTCCATTTCTTCCCTTTCAGTCTAAAGCTGCATTTGAAAGAGAAAGCGATGTACCCTTGAAAAACGAGGAATTTGAAGTGACCAAAACTGCAGGTACGGAAATATGGGTAGTAGGGATAGAGCAGAGAAAGTGGAATGAGGGAGGCAGCAACATTACCACCAGAAGGTGATGTGGTGGGAGTTTGGAGATGGAGATGGCATCCCCAAGGGGGTCCTCAAAGTCATAGACCAGGTGCCCACAGACTGGTTCTACAAAAAGCCACATAGTAAATATTTTCAGCTTTGTGGTGGGCTTATAGGCTACTTTTAAACAACTCACCTCTGCTGTTGTAGCATAAAAGCAGCCATAGATAGTATGTCAATGAACAGGCATAGCAAATAAAACTTTATTTTATGAACACTACAATGTGAATTTCAGATAGTTTTCCCATATCATAAAATACTATTTTTCTTTGATTTTGTTTTAAAGCTTTTCCCTGACCCCCACATCTATAGTCTTGGCTTATTAGGGAGGCTTTGGTGGGAGAATTACTTGAACCCAAGAGTTCAAGTCCAGCCTGAGCCACATAGCAAGACCTCTCTTTTTTTTTTTTGGAGACAGACCCTCAGTAGAGTGCCCTGGTATCATAGCTCACAACAACCTCAAACTCTTGGGCTCAAGCAATTCTCTTTCCTCAGCCTCCCAAGTAGCTGGGACTACAGGCATCTACCACAATGCCTGGCTATTTTTAGAGATGAGGTCTTGCTGTGGCCCAGACTGGTCTTGAACCCATGAGCTCAGGCGATCCACCCGCCTCAGCCTCCCGAGTGCTAGGATTATAGGTGTGAGCCACCAAACCCTGCCCCTTTTTTTTTTTTTAAAGACAAAGTCTCACTCTATTGCCCTGGGTAGAGTGCCATGGCACCATCATAGCTCACAGCAACCTCAAACTCTTGGGCTTGAGCAGTCCTCTTGCTTCAGCCTCCCCAGTAGCTGGGACTACAGATGCTCACCACAATTCCCGACTATTTTTTGTTTAGGAAACAGAGTCTTGCTCCTGCTCAGGCTGGTCTTGAACTCCTGAGCTCAAACAGTCCACCTGCCTCAGCCTCCTTGAGTGCTAGAATTACAGGTGGAGCCACCACACCTGAGATCTCTCTTTAAAAAAAAAAGTCTATTTAAAAACGTGCAAACCTCTCTTAGTGTAGGGGCCATACAAAAGCAGGTGGTGGGCCGTGCTTTGTTAATCCATTAGAGAATAAGCACAAGAAAATTTTATAAGGCTCCATGCCTATAGCTCAAGCAGCTAAGGCGGCAGCCACATATACTTGGGCCTGCAAACAACAATGACAAGTACAACCAAAAATAGCCGGGCGTTGTGGGGAGTGCCTGTAGTCCCAGCTACGTGGAAGGCTGAGGCAAGAGAATAGCTTAAGCCCAGGAGTTGGAGGTTGCTATGAGCTGTGATGCCACAGCACTCTACCCAGGGTGACAGCTTGAGGCTCTGTCTCAAAAAAAAAGAAAGAAAGAAAAGTTTACAGCATAGTAGTGGTGGAGGCAGGGAGTGTCAAGTACTTGGAAAAACAAATAGGTTCCTGGACCCCTCCCATCGGTATGCAGCTATTAAGGGCATTTAGCTGATGAGCTGCTGCAGAGAAGGCAGTGGGTTTAGTGAACAGCTGCACAGCCTGGCTGTCATGTGCTCTGAGATCAGAGCACCTTTGGAAGTCAAAGGTGTTAGGGCAGCATCGAGTTTAGGACCACATAACACCCCTACCCCATCATGCTCAGCCCTTAATCCTCTCCCTTCTGGGTTGTCTGAACCCCTCCCGCCATCCACTCTTGATGTGGCACAATGACTAGAGCTCTGGCCGCCTCCAGCCTTCCTGTGGCTTCCCGCTGCCCACTAAAAGGTCAGCCCCACTGACCTCTCACTCTCCACGCCACCTTTCTTCTGTCTCTCAGCCATAAGACATTCAGTGTCGGCTCGGCGCCTGTGGCTCAAGTGGCTAAGGCGCCAGCCACATACACATAAGGTGGCGGGTTCAAATCCAGCCCGGACCCACCAAACAACAATGATGGCTGCAACCAAAAAATAGTTGTGGCGGGCACCTGTGGTCCCAGCTACTTGGGAGGCTGAGGCAGGAGACTGGCTTGAGCCCAGGAGTTGGAGGTTGCTGTGAGCAGTGAAGCCATGGCACTCTACCCAGGCACTCAGCTTGAGGCTCTGTCTCAAAAAAAAAAGACATTCAGTGTCTGGGGCCTTTACACATGGAAGTCCACTTAGGGGACAGCTCTCCTTCCCCACCTGGCCCATACCACATGCCCCATCCACATTCCCAGTTCCCTGAGGATTCATGAAATATAGAAGATCCAACCATGTGTTTCTTTCTTGCAGTGGCCCACAAGCCTGGGGAATTCAAGGCTGAGCTGTCCAAGCTGGTGATCGTGGCCAAAGCGTCCCACACTGAGCTGTGACCAGCAGTCTTATTGAGGGTGATGCTTCCTCATCTCCACCAAAGGAGCCAGGGACCTGAGAGGGATGACCCATTAATGGCTTTCTGAGGGCCCTCAGATTTTAGCCCAGGCCAGTGTAGCCCTGTCTGAAGGGGCTTACCCTGCCTGGCTCTCCAATACCTCACTGACCCCTGCTCCCTGCTATGCTCTCCTGGACTCAGAACCATGCTCCCCTCTGACCTTCGGGCTGACCACCATACAAGAGCCTCTAGGACTATTTTTCACAAGGTTACCCAGGGGACCTCCTTTCAGATGAACTTAAAAGAGATGAAATTTTTTTCATATTTAAATAAAAAAGATTAAAAAGCCACCACACAAGCTGGTATGTCAGGTAGGGGCTTTGGCTACAGCCCCACTTCATATCCCTGTTGGAAGAGGCTGATGCTGCCCCACCCAGGGCACAGGGTCTCTCCAGGTGGGACTGTGCTGAAGGGTGTCAGAGTGCTGGACTGAAGGCACCCATCCCTGAACTTGCTCTTACAGACTGGCTACTTGCTCTCACCGAATCCCATACTTGCGTCCATGTGGCCTTGTCAAAGGCCCAGGACAGGTGACTATTCCAGGATAGACCTGCACTCTTGACCAGGGTAGTTGGTTATGATTGTTTTTTTGAAGCCATATTACAGTATGGTGACTTCAAAAATCAAAATACCCACAGGCAAACCCAAATAAATCAAACCCCCAGTGCCCCAGCCACTCAGAAGGGCCCTGGTCTCCCAGCTTTGGGGCCTGAGATTCTGACCCCAGCCTTTTATTTTTTGAAACAGTCTCACTTGGTCACCCTTGGTAGAGCACAATGGCATCTTAGTTCACAGCAACCTCAAACTCTTGGGTTCAAGTGATTCTCTTGCCTCAGCCTCCCCAGTAACTGGCACTACTGGCGCCCACCACAACACTCAGCTATTTTTTTAAAGACAGGGTCTCACTGTGGCTCAGGCTGGCCTTCAACCCGTGAACTCAGACAGTCTACCTGCCTTGGCCTCCAAGTGCTGGGATTACAGGCGTGAGCCACCACGGTCGGCGTGACCCCAGCTTTGACCTTCAGCCTGACTTGCCACCCTAGGCTATAGCCTGTTGCATCAGGGCTGCCACTGAGCATTGGTGTCACTGATGGAGGCCTTTCTACACCTCCCTCACACCTGCCCTAGGAGGTGGCCCTGCTCATACTTTCTGGAGGAGAAACTGGCTGAGAGCATCAGGGCAGCTGCCTGAGGTCATACCTCTAGAAGAAGCCTACTAGGTGTCCTGCTGTCCTTGCCACCATCCCTGGAGTAGAAGCTCCTTCAGATCTAGAGATGAGAAGCACAGAAGCTCAGAGAATGACTGTTAAAAACCAGAGTGACAAGAGGTGGCCAGGCCCAAAGGTACTCGGAGGGCAGAGCCAGCACCCTTGACCTCTTCCCAGCATGCACCCTGTATAAGGAAATTCCTGATACATCCACCCATAAGAAGGGCCCCCAGAGCAATAACAGTGGGGCTCTGGGGCCTGGGAGGGCACAGTGACCTGCTGGTAACCCAGGGGCCCATCCTGAGACCAGAAACCTTTCCCACTCTGGACTTTGCAGTTGCACAGGGCCTGAGAGGTGAGCATGGCAGGATTGCTCGTGGCTTTCTGTGCAAAGACTGTTGGAAAATGCACATGGGCCAGACCTCAGTCAAAGGGATGGGATTCTTTGCTGGTCAACCCAGAATTGTTCATTGCTTCCAAATTCCTGGAAGGATGCAGACCAGGTGGCAGGGTGTGCCCACTTTGGCAGGGCATCTAGGGCCACAAGTAAGCCTCCCACTTGCTCCGTGTTTATGTCTCTTTTTTTTTTTTTTTTTGA